CTGTTGATATGGAAACAGTAATAGCCAATGCCCTGAGTTTGGACGTCAGCACAGACAGATTACACTAATTTGCATAGGCAAAATTAAACTTCAAAAACTTGGACATAAACAAAGGAACAATTGCAAGATGAATAAAAAAAACACAGAACATTAACTGGAGTGTGAGAATCATTTTACTATGCTGCAGTGTAGCAACACATTTGTCTCTTTTTGCTTTCCGTACATCCAGTTGTGTTTGGTGTATTTGCATGCTGCAGTGTTGCCAAATCCACAGTATTTATTCCGCGGAATTGGGCTACTTTGGGGCAATGTTTGATTAACTATTTGGTCGGGTTTATTACACAGACCTGGCAACCCGAGGGGGAACACAAATTCCAGAGGGGAACAGACTCGACTGCTACACCGGTCTGTCGTCTGCCGTCCCTATCAATCCTATTCAAAAATCTACACGGACTGGCGGCGACGGAAGGGTAGACTGCTCCTTCTCCTTCTCCTGCTTAGAAAAGTCACGAATCACTCGCCATACTAGTGAAGCCTGGTATCCGCTATCGTGAGCTGAAAACGGTTTCTCTGTGGTACGGAGCTACTGTGGCCACGGCATTCACAAACTGTTGCATACAGCACCAAACGTACCGCACAGTCTGAATGATACAAGCATTGCACACTGTGATGTAATAAACCTGCAGAGATTGCAAACACTCAATAAGCTTGTACTGTCTTTGTTTTATGTATTTCTACAGAGAATGAAGTAGCAATAGTAACAGTCGGTCTGGAAATGTAATTATGTGGTGAAAAAAGAGGTGACATGAGGACTATGAGGGTTGGCAACACCAAAACAAGTGTCTGTGATACAGTTCTTGTGGATTTTTGGACTGACATACACATTGATTTCCATGAATATGTGACCACAAAATAATAATCTTACTGGTTCTTACTGTTAGAAATATGAAGCATGTTGGCTGTGTGAGGTCTGCTGTCTCGGTCTGCTTCAGTGTTTGTATGCCTGGCTCGTTGCAGTGTAGGCCAACCGTGTTTGTTTGGTACAAACTCTCCAAATCTCATAAAATCAAGATTGAATTATTAAAAGTCTTCACAGATAAAAGAAATATTTCTGCTCACAAATGGATAAAATGGATAAACACCTCGAGTTTTGTAATTTAGAATTTCCTCATATAGGTTTGGATCCATATGCCAACAATGCCAACAAGAACAGTCATTCAGGTGACAACATTTTGTGGTCATCTCCCTTATTTATAACTGAGCTATTTTGAATGATTGATCAATTGATTTATCTGGTGCACTCTGAGATTGTATGCCAATTACAATTACAACATTATGTTCCACACTTGCATCTTGTATGCAAGGCTTTCTTGTGAAAGAAAGAAAAAAGGTTTGGATAAGTGTTCTGATTAAATATATTCCACTGTATCAGTGAGAAGGTAAACAGAAATAGAATATAGAATATTAATTCAAATGTATTGTTGCTCTATATGGAAACAGTAATAGCCAATGCCCTGACGTCAGCAGTCAGCACAGACAGATTACACTAATTTGCATAGGCAAAATTAAACTTCAAAAACTCGGACATAAACAAAGGAACAATTGCAAGATGAATAAAAAAATCACAGAACATTAACTGGAGTGTGAGAATCATTTTACTATGCTGCAGTGTAGCAACACATTTGTCTCTTTTTGCTTTCCGTACATCCAGTTGTGTTTGGTGTATTTGCATGCTGCAGTGTTGCCAAATCCACAGTATTTATTCCGCGGAATTGGGCTACTTTGGGGCAATGTTTAATTAACTATTTACACAAATTCCAGAGGGGAACAGAATCGACTGCTACACTGGTCTGCCAGCGCACTGCGGGAGGAAAATACTGGCTAGCACAGCTTTACTAGGAAAGTGAGCAAGTAACATTAAAATAATTCATACAAGACGATGAAGAAAAGTGTATAGATGTGTTTTAACGCACCTCTGTGACTCTGATCTCCCCGCTGGTCTGCCTCTGACCGGTTCATACAGCTCCACTCGGGACACTGAGATATTCTTACGGAAACTTAAACCTGGCTTTATATCACGCAAATAACATCAGCATACAACGCATCAAGCGATAAAAGAGTCAAAAAAGAAAATTAACCTACCATACTCTAGTGGTTTTTCATCTTCACGAGTCTTTCACAGAGCCGGTGCCGAGGAGGTGTGTGGTTGTTTTTC